GGAATTATGTTATGATACAAACAAATGACTACCAAAATAAAAAAAAATAAAAAGATTATTTGAGGTAAATTAATAAACACACTGAAAAAGATACAATTATGATTGTCTAAAGAAGATTTGCTGCAAACCAAAATCTTAATGAAATGTTTAAAAACAGCTATGATATTGACGTTTTAAATACTAATTACATGTGCTATTGTTAAATTTTAGGGGAAAAGGTACACATGATTAACTATGTCCGTACCGATTTATTCAGGGAAATATACATAAACACTTACAATATTGTGTCACATATATAAACGTATAAACACACAAAAATGTAACAAAATATAATTATAAAATTAAGTACTAATGTATTATGTTTTGTGTTACCCTAAGATTTCACATTAGGCTAAAAGCTTATTTCAAATGGCGTCTAATTACTGAAATATTAATACACTAAATTATATTATAATAAATGAATTCTTTTAAGTTAAAATAGATAAAATAACATCAGCTTCCATTTTGGAACTGACTATTATTATATTAAGCTTGAGAATATCGAGATGAATATTTCTCCATTGATTTTTGGTTCCAGCGGGTTAAAGGGTCAGCATTAAAAATCAAATATGACTGACGCAAGAGTGAATTTTTAATGGGGAATTAATTAACTGGCGGATAGTTTTCTTTAGGTGGGCATATAATGAGATAAATTCATTAAAAGTGCCTTTAAATGCAGAATTGAAGTAATGACTTATAGCTGATAATTCCAGCCATCCTCTTGTTAATTCATTAATTGTCATCATATAAAAGCTAATGTATATTTGTTTATAATATAGCTGTATTTGTGACAATATTATGATTTGTGAACATATTATGTTCATTTTGTACAAATGAAATAAATATGATGTTCTTTTCTTTTCAGCTACTCTCCCACACAAAATGGGTCTAAAAGTCATCAACATATTTGAGCCGCGTCACGACAAAACCAACATAGTGCGTTTGCATCCGCGCAGTCTGATCAGGATCCATGCTGTTCGCTATCAGTTTCTCTACTTGTTATAGGGTTTGTAAACGAACAGCATGGATCCTGATCAGACTGCGCGGATGCGCAGGCTGGTCTGGATCCATGCTGGTCGCAAACGCACTATGTTGGTTTTGTCATGGCGCGGCTCATTTGTTTTCAGTTATTTGACATGCATAGAAGTAACATTTGCAGTTTCCATGAGACAACTGTCACACAACAGTAAAAAACACCCCTATTATCACACCCGTTAACATGTGGAGAGTAAGATAGCATCATGCAGGTAGAAATTACTATGTAAACCGGATTACCAAGACACGTTCATCTTACATAATTGTTTATGATATATTGTGAAGCAATCGATTGCAAGATAAAAATTGACGAACAGTCTTTACATAAAATCATTCCAAGCGCACAGTTGTTCTACCTGCAACCAAATGATCTACTTGCAACTAGTTAACGGGTGTATTTATAATTTAAGTCAATATTTACAAAATAAAACGTTGCAACGGTTTAAAATTGCAATAAACAGAGAAAACGGAATCTCTAAACAACGCCCAAAACGGCAAAATTGAAAATGTTGCAGGCTCGGTTTGATTGAACTTGGTCATGGACGGCAGTGGTAATTGCAAGCTACAGTCCATGTCCCCTAGCATCGGTGCAGATATTAAAATGTACATAATCTGCCGAGCTTCAAACATTATATTTGATTTAATAAGACTAAGACTAGTGTTAACGATTTGAATTAAAATCTACATTACCATTTGTTGATCCGGTGTATTTTAATGTAAGAATGAATTCTGCTTGTTTAATACTTTCCGGTAAATACACAATATAATCAATCATCATTTTAAGCTTTGATATCATTTGCCCATTTACAACAGTAG